CTAGGTCGCCGACTAGGTCATCCCCAGTAGCCGGCATCAGGTCGAGCAGCGCTTTGCCTCTCTTTGGCCCATAGACTTCTTGAGTCAGGAAGAGGTCATCCATGCACAAGAGGAAGCTTTGCGACCGCTCAGATTTTGCTGAGCGATCCTCCCACGAGATGTCCAGGTAATTGAAGTCACCCATGACAACCATGGTCCTGGAGCATGCGGCCTCAGCCAGTTCCCGGGCAAACTCCTGGTCAAGCTCAGGACTTTGGGTGGGAGGTCTGTAATAGACTCCCACCATTGTGTCCCCTGTGCCGTGTTCCCCACGGATTTTAACCCAGAGGGTCTCCAGCCGTCCACCCTGGTCACCAATATCGGCTTGCAGGGACATGTAGCTTTCCTTAACATAGAGAGCTACACCCCCGCCCCTTTTATCTACTCGATCCCTCCTGTACAGGGTATAGCCATCTATACCCGTGGTCCAGTCTGTATCCAGAACTGTAAGGGGCCCTACTACTGGCAAACATCCTCCACCCACACCTGGGGCTTCAGATGTTTCCAAAACCTTTGACGGGCATCCTACTTGCAGGCCTAAGCCCAGAGGCTTGAGGTTCGTATGCTCCCGAGTTTTGCGTGCCCTCAGCCATGAGGCCCTGGGAGCAAGCAAGGGAGGAGACTCCCATTCCCATAAACTGAGCTTAAAGCCACTGCACCTCGGCGGGTGCTGAACCACGCCAGAAGAGTTCTCCTGTGGTGCGGTTCAGGAAAACTACCTTCTTGGACACAGATGCATGCTGCCAGGTTAAGAAGCTTGTCCTGAGCCTTCAGGAGGGCCCTTAGCAGGAAATCATTTCTGAGCTCTGCTCACTACATTAAGGATTCAGATTCTGTTTCCAAGCCCCCAGGTTTCCCGGCACCCCGAGCAACAGACTCATCATCACAGGTCAGCTTAGCGCAGGGTCGGCAACGTTTTGCAACCTCAACTTGAAGACCTTGGTGTGCCAGGGGCAGATGGCGGGGGAGCCACGAAGAGGCCGGCCTGGTCCTTGTTGTGGCCCCTTCCCCACCATCCACCCAGAGGCAACACGTCTTCGAGTGCCGCACTCTGCCGCCCGTGCGGGGCCGCCTCCCCTGGCTTAGCAGCCTCCGTGTTTGCGCGTGGCGCAGCTCGGCTGGCAAAGCCGCTTCCCGGGAGCTGGGGCAGAGCTGAAGTGGAGCGACGCGGGTGCGGCAGACAAGGAGGCCTGAGCCGCAGTGCTCGGGAAGGGGCCCTGGGAAGCTGCAGCGACACCTAACGCCGTCCAGCCACCACCAGCCAGGACCGTCCCGAGCGCGCCCCAGCGCGGCGAAGGCAAGAGCCGGGCCCCCATGTGTGCTAGAGAGCGGGGCCGGAAGTGCGTGCAGGCGGAGCGGGGCCGGGCAGGCTCCCACGTGCGGCAGG